CTGATATTACCCTAAAAACTATCAGGTCTGTGCAGTGTCATAATGACATCTATGTCCCAAGTTTTATTGACATGTTATGATTAGTACTTGAGATATCAGTGGAAAAGCCGAAAATTGATTAATCATTATGTAAATTAGGTAATTAATAATATTAACAGATTTTTACCCAAAAATAATCAAATCTGCCCATTAGTTCAGAGCATCCATGTGCCAAGTTTCATTGAAATCCAATGAGTGGTTCTTCAAAAATTAGTGAAACAGTCATAGAACAGCTTAAAATCAGTTAATTATCATGCAAATTAGGTAATTAATATTCATAGATTTTTACCCAAAACTAATCAAATCTGCGTATTGGTTCAGAGCATCCATGTGCCAAGTTTCATCAAAATCCAATGAGTGGTTCTTCAAATATCAGTGGAACAGTCATGGAACAGCTTGAAATCAGTTAATTATCATTCAAATTAGGTAATTAATATTCATAGATTTTTACCAAAACCTAATCAACTCTGCACATCATCCCAGAGCATCTATGTACCAAGTTTCACGAAAATTTGATAAGTGGTTCTTGAGATAACGATGGAACAAAAAAAGTGACATACATACATACATACAGGGTAACTGCAAAGACTCCCTTTTGTGCTTCGCACACGGGAGTCAAAAATAAAAAAAAAAGACAATGGCGTACTATAGTGGATAACACAAAGTCTCATTTTAATTAGATGAGTTGTTTACAACCTGTTTCAGAATTATAGTTCTGGATTTTGGTTAAAATTATGCGCAGTTTGGGGTTTAAAACAATAGAATAATAATTTACCAGTGTCAAAACAGCTGTGAATTATCAAACTCTATTCTACAACCAAACACTAAAAAATATATATATACCCCAGGTACACTCCTTTGAATAACTTTATTAAACAAATGCACAATTGAAGACATTGCAATATACAATATCTATTAATCCTTATTTCTAGTCAAGCCCATAATAAAGTACACTGAATAATAATAACGTAGAAGTCACTATCACCAAAGGGGACCAACACAGAAAAGTACAATTCATGATCAAGTAAACAACATCATCCGTAAATTACGAAGAATTAAAAAAAATGTTGATTGAGATAAAATAAAATGTTCCAAACATACTTGTGTAAGGACTGATATCATATTTCAATGAAAAATAAAATGGAAACTTCCCAAATGATAAAACTATCAAAGTTAGAAAGCTCTTGGGAACACATTTTTTTCATACAAGCTTGTAAATATTATCTTATCACTTATCTTATGCTTCATATGATACAGTGATACAACTTGTTTACATTGATATTTTGTCATATATTGTTACTTAGTGTTTTTATTTGTGATAATAGTGTTATAAGTGCATTTTCAATAACGAGTACTCTGCTTAAAATAGTTTTAAATTTGTCTGTATACTGTACTTCAATTTATAAATGGTGTCATGCTTTATCCAAACATTCATCTCCAGAAGCACTATCCACTGATAGATAGACAATCTACAATTGTACTGTGCAGTACGAAAAAAAAAAAGTTAAAAAGTTGCAGCTTTTCTGAATTGCTCATAACTTTGCAAAACACTTTGCTTTGTTCTAGATTTGACAAGCGCTGCTAGACAGAAGCCGTGCTCTGTATGATTCACTATTTCATAAGATGATCAATATATAATGATTTGCAAAGTTCGTGTACGTACAATAAACTGTTTTTCATTTCAGTTTATCACATTGTACAAAATTCACGAAATATTAAAACACTTAAAAATAACCTGTTTATAAATTCTAATGAGCGCTTTTCAGTTTTTAAAAACCGCACTTTAACCCAATCTAGCATGTTGATGGTAATGATAATGTACACGTGTCAATGTAACAGCACCGCAATGTCTAGATTGGACAAAAACCAAAGTGTTTTGCACAGTTTGCAAGTCTTCTTTCTAACTGACTGACTAAGTCACAGAATGACTGTAAACCTGATATTCGCCATGTTTGTACCATGGCCAATATATTAACACAGTAGATATCATAGAGTTGTATGCTTTAATGACACCTGATGTATTACTTTATTTGAGCTGGAATTAATTTTCGCTGAAAAGATTTTTTGGGAGTTTTGTATGGAATTTATTTTCACTGATTTCTGATGAGTTGAATGTCAAATATAGGAAAATAGGTATATTCACTGGATTTTATTTTCACTGAACCATTCCTTCAGCGAAAGTTAATTCCAAGCGAAAAAGTATTTTACAGTAACAGGTCCAAGTATAATAATTCTCAGTTTATGTACAATTTTAGAAGTGCTTCTGTCAGTTGAAACTTTTCACATTCAGAAACAAAGCTTTATAACTAATTGTTACTTGTTGAAAACTTACAAGGAAAATAAGTGTAAATTACAAAATACGTTAAAATATATAAAATACTTTGGATGAAAAATTTGCTGTATATTGTTACACATATCTCT